ATGTTAGTATTAGATTTACAAATTATAAAACCAGAGCTTCGGATGATTTGGATGCAGAATCATCTGACAGAGATATTATAGATAACAGAAGACATAGTATATCTGAATTGATGGAAAAATTAGACCATGAAAGTGAAATAAAATATTATGAAGATAAATTAAGAGATATAGCAGATGAATATAATAACTCTATGAAAAGTGAGTGGCCTAAAATTAGAGACAAGGAACTTTATTTCTATAGAGAACTATCCAGGATTAACAAACAAAAAAAAGAGAAAAGCTTGGTCATAGAAACCCCCAGAACCCAGGAAATTAAAATAGAACAAATAAAGTCAGAAGAACCAAGAGAAGAAATCCAAAAGTTAGATAAGGTATTAAGTGAGGAAGAGCAATGGGAAGTAAATGAGAAATTATTACTAGAGAGTTATGAAGAAGAAAACAACCTGATAGAGGAAATAGAGAATATAGAAGAAGAAGATAATGCAGAACAATATAATGATTTTATAGACTCATTGGATGAGGAAGGTTTGCATAATCTAGATAATGCAATGGAAGCTATGGAAGTAGATTTGGGAACAGGAAAAAGGAAAAGATACGGAGAGGGTTCTGTAAAAAATGAAGGAGAAAGAGAAAGACCAGCCAGGGCAGCAGGAAGATGGCCTCCAGAAAAAGAAGAATATTCATATCATTATATCCCAGGACAGTATAGGCACATGGGCACTAAAAGAAGAGATTTTGAGAAACCAATAAAATTTCAAAATCAAAAAAGTGATGGGGCTATACTAAATCTAGCAGCACATGATCCCATAGACTGGCCAAATATCATTAGTATTTGGAAGGGGTTAATAGTTCAAAAATACATACAAAATCAGCATAATATAGGGAATAAGGTGGAGGATATGATAACTTATTTAGAAACATTTTTGGGTGAATCTGCTAAAGTCCTATGGGAACAATGGGTTGAAAAGAATCCTAATAACTATGAAGAGCTAAAAAGAGCAGGAAGTAATCCTCACAACTTTGCAAATATAGTATCTAATATTATCATAGCTGAAGACCCAGAATTAGGATATACAACCCTGCAAAATGAAAGATTAAAAGAAATAGAAAAATTAACTTTAACAAGCTGGAAAGGTATAAAGGAATTTTCTCAACATTATCTATATAATGCAACAACTGCTAAGCAAGGATACAATAAGGGAATAGTTGAGCGATATTTTAATAAACTACCTGACCCATTAGGTAGTATGATTTTTGAGGAATATAAAAAGGAAACTGAAGGAGCTGAAATTAATATTTCCCAAGCCATAACCTTCGTGTTCAAACAATTAAGAAAAATATGCACAGGAATACAAGCCCAAAGGTCAATGAAACATTCTGATTATAATTTTTGCAATAAAATAATACAAATACCTTTATCATATGGAGAAGATAGGCCTAGAAATAAAAGAAACCATAGATATCAAAGTAGAAATAGCAATAATATAAAGACAAAGAAAAGGTACTTCTTAAGAAGATCAGATAATAGAGCACCTTTCTTACATAAACGAAATGTAAGAAGATATAACCCAAAGAAAACTTATGATAAGACATGCAGATGTTTCATATGTAATTCACCAGATCATTTAAGTAGAACTTGCCCAAATAAAGATCAAAAAAGATATTCTAGTAAATATGAAGAACAAGAGAGAGTTTTAATTATAGATAGCGTAAATGAAAATATATTAGTATGTGATGATGAAATAAAAGATGACGAATCAATATATTCTATCATAGAAACAGATGAAATTGAAAACACCAATGAAGAGTATGAATCAACCGATGAAGAGTTAGATTTAATTGACGAACTAGCCGGTTTAAAAATAGAATTGATGGATCAGTTAAATTGTGAACATGATTGGATTAGAGGAAAAGGAGATTATAACATTAAATGTGCTTTTTGCATCTATTACCCAAGCCAAGATAATAGAGTAACCTGTAGTATATGCTTAAAACAAGCTTGTGCTGAATGTATAAAAGCAAATAAACAAAAATGGAGAAAAGAGATAGAATTAGAATCAGATGAAAGGATATTATCTAGTAGAGTACGAGTTTTAGAAAACAGAATAAATAAACTAGAAGTGGAACTAGAGAATCTAAAAATTAACTATGATATTAAGGCATTACCAGAAAATAAGGATATACAAAATACCGAATTTAAAGAGCAAGTGATAACATTAAAAGACAGTAATACTGCTAAAATAATTCAACTAAAAGATGCCATAACTAATTTTGGAAATAAATATATAGTAAAACTGCCTTTCAAAGAAATTTTGGGAATAAGAATACCGGTAAAAGTAAAACTATCACCCAAGGTATCATATAAAATTCTAGCACTAGTAGACACTGGGTGTACAAAAAATATTATTCATGATAAGTACTTCATAAAATGTCCAGAAATAGTTCATACAATTGATGATAATAAGGCAGAAGTCTCTACAGACATGTCCGGAATAAAGAA